CGTGGTTGACTCTTAACTTTTATAAAGAATATCTCTTTGGATTTGAGACTTTAGTCTTTGCAACTTTACAGATCTTCTTTATGCACCAAGAGCTTGTAACACTCCAAAGAGAAAGGAAAAATTGAAATCGCATCATATGACCCCTTTAAATCTTTTGAATGAATGAATGAGGCATTTGTATAGCGCTTTTTTGTGTATTGTTGTACACCCAAAGCGCTTTACAATCATATGAAGAGGTATCTCCTTAACCACCACCAGTGTGCAGCATCCACCTGCCTTTTGAAACCTAAAAGATTTCTTCCGCTAGGAAAAAACGTGACCTTTCCAACGTGACCACGTGAAGTTGTGGCAAAGCATTGCAGAGCTAGTGCAAGATGAGCATTTGTGATTAAAAAGTATATACATTTATTTTTTTTAAATGACTGATAATTTTGATAGATAAGAAGACCCTTATTCCTCGGCTGGGATTATGTATGAGCCCCTTTGAAGCTGCATTGAAACTGCAGTTTGGACACAACTGAAGCCGGCTACATGGAGAAGCTAGGAAAAAACGTGACCTTTCCAACGTGACCACGTGAAGTTGTGGCAAAGCATTGCAGAGCTAGTGCAAGATGAGCATTTGTGATTAAAAAGTATATACATTTATTTTTTTTAAATGACTGATAATTTTGATAGATAAGAAGACCCTTATTCCTCGGCTGGGATTATGTATGAGCCCCTTTGAAGCTGCATTGAAACTGCAGTTTGGACACAACTGAAGCCCACTATATGGAGAAAAATCCTGGAATGTTTTTCTCAAAAACGTAATTTCTTTTCGACTGAAGAAAAGGAAAGACATGAACATCTTGGATGGCATGTGGGTGCGTAAATAATCAGGAACTTTTGATTCTGGAGTGAACTAATCCTTTAACTATATTTACACCAGTCCCATTTCACTTTTTTCTCTCTCTTGAAAAGTAGGCATTATTCAGCATAATGTATAATACATAATGTGCACTAAGCAGTAAGCTAGTATTCTCTGTCATTGAGTTGCGTAGCCTCTCTCTAAAAGTGAGCAAACCGCTGCGGTGTCAGTGTCCCGACAGCGTGCGGCCCATCCCCTGCAGGCCTGGAGCGGGGCAGATAACATGAGCGTCTGCCTCATCTAAATGACAATGGGGAAGGGAGGGCGGCTAATCACAAATGCAAATTGCAATCAAAGGACATAACCACAATGCATTCTGGGCGATAACAGTGTGATCATAAAGATGGCAAAAGGTCAGATTCTCATCAAAGCTCTTACAGTTTATGGCTAAACAGAATATTGAGACACGTGATATCCCCTGATTCTGTGACGATAAAACAGTCACGCTAAATGAGGGTGAACTGGGAAATCACCATGCATGGCAAAGAGCACAGTGGAATATTAAACTGAATAAAGCACCAATGTGCCAGTTCACGCTTTCAAGAGTCATATCATTGAAAAAACTATTTTACATTCACTACACAAATATTCAGTCCAGTCAGGATAGACCATTTACTAAAAATAATCACCAAAAGTAGACAAGCAGCTCATTAAACCACACGTTTGCACATTCACACCTATTCAGTTTTCAGCAACTTGGCCCAGCCTGATGTATGATGCGGTAAACAGATATTAGCCAATCATAACAGAGGTCATTTGCATATAGCAGTCTTAAGATGCAGTCGCAAAAACAGCCAGGCTGCATCCAAAATCGCATACCTCACTATTGTAGGCAAAAAACAATATGAGACCAGAGTTGTATGTTCGAATTCACAGTATTCATAATACAGTAGTCATGAAGTCTCCAGATGACCTAATGTTCTGAAATGCACATTCAATGAATACTTTACCATCCCATGACTAGGTCACATGACACAACATGAGGAATGTAGTACATTCAGATTACATTCATACTACACACAATTATACTATATAAAGCATTCATTCTAATTTATTGAGATGCACCTGTATATTATACACACATATACACACACACACAAACAAAGAAAAACAAGTAGATAGAATAGAAAAAATAGAACGCTAGTGTTTGTTTGTTTTTTGTTGTTGTTTTTTTTAAAATAAAGAATAAAAAAAAAGAAAAAAGATAAATATAGATAAAGTAGAATTAAAATAGAATACCAAATATTGTCCTATCCTAACAAACCATACATCAATGGAAAGCTTATTTATTCAGCTAAAAAGGGACCCTTATATTTACATTTAGTCACTTAGCAGACGTAGATAGACAGACAGACAGACAGACAGACAGATAGATAGATAGAGAGATCCCTCTGTTTCCTCACGCTCGCTCCCCAGTCTTTAGTGAGTGTGGTGTGAGTATAGGTCCCCCAGTTGTCTCACCGCGGTATTTTGAAGAGTGCTTTGACCGGGTGCATCTCGGCCAGGGGTGGGTCTCCATCCGCCAGCTCTATGGCAGTGATGCCCAGAGACCACACATCACAGCGGGCGTCATACGAGTAGTCATACTGCTGTTCACACGCTATCACCTGCACACAGACAAACACAGAGGGATCACACACACACACACACACCATCATCTTCTACACTGAAAACAAACAAAAATAAAATAAGATGTTGCAGAAACAATTTTCACTCAGAAACAAATATGCTAAGAAGCAAATATGCAAACAATTACAATAAATTGACGAGGAGTAAATGAATCAAATGTGAAAATTTTAAGTAGAAAAACGGAAATGTATTTACTTTTTTTTTACAGTTCACTTTCAGGAGAGATCTCAACTGTGCTCAGGTTTGTCAAGATACTAGAGTATGCTATCAACAGTTAGTGAGCTTAATATGAGCTCAAACATTTTTTTATTTTTTTTATTAAATTCTTAGGAGTTATGCGACCTATATTAATTTGATAGCTCTATACACCTACTGAATGTCAACCATTGACTCATTTGTGTCTATTTTTATATCCCCAAAGAAATTTTAGTAAAAACATCTGATACTTACAAGAAATATAATTGATAACTTCAGGTTTTTAAAACTGAATGAACTCCAGTTATAGCTATAAAGTTATTTTAAATATTAGAGGGATTCATATCAGTTTTATTATTATATGGTTTAAAATGATTAAATAAGCTAATTTACACAGTATATACATGTGAATTTAGCCAAATCATTTTCCAAATTAAACTAATTTTATTTCAGCTCCAGTTAACCAATATTTGTTATATTCAATCATTACTGTACTGTAATAATCACAACAATTATGTTGTTCTGCAGCATTAAATCAGTCTGTCAGAAACACTGTGGCCAATCGGCATATTGCCGAGCGTTTAATTTAGACTGTATTTTAATTGGCCCTGAGGGGCCTCCCCCACTGGCCCCATCACTTCGCTTTATTTCACTCTCACAGAGCGGCGCTCAGCTATTAACCTTCACATGACCCACACACACACACACACATCTCCGTTAGATAGCTCACTAATGCATACGGTATACACAAAAGCACATAAGCATTACGATACACATTTTTCACAAAGACAGTGAATCTACTCACAGGTTAAAGGTCCCCTGAAATGCTTAGAAACACGCAGCGGTTCTCTATGTGTTGACGTCATTTTAACTGAAACAGGACAGAAAATACTAATTCTGTGGACAAGTGACCGATTTCAGCCGCGGCTTCAGCGTCTATTTTATAGTGTAGGGGGTGGGCGCTTCTGATTCTAGAGAGCATTTGATTGGACAGAAAGTTTGATGAGAAGCTGAGGTACGATGTGGCGTCAAAAAAGTCGTTGAGCCATTTTGGCGGAAGTTTCGAACTGCAAGCTTTGAATGCTTATATCTTCTAAATGCGAATTTAATCACTGTTTTGGAGCACACTGCCTTATAGATAACCTTAAGACTAACATATTGATACTAACACCCAAAAAACTTTAATTTTGATTTCATGGGGACTTTAAAGGAACACAGATTGTTTCAGTGAGTACAGTACATAAAAAAACTTAGCAAAAGTACCTAATAGAAATAAAATAATCAACATACTGTAGGCTTACTGGAAAATGTATTTATATAGTGCTTTCACAATAGATATAGTTCCAGAGCAGCTTTACAGAAAATCATGTTGTTAATGTTTATAATATCTTAAGAGTTACATTTGATAGATCAGAGCTGGGTGATAATATAGTTTACATTTTGGGATGATATAAACATGTAAGCAGTTGAGATTTACTATATAGTATTTATCTTTTTATGTGAGTATACCGTATGCATGTGGTTAAATTGTATATAATTAGACAGTGGTGTCCATTTCTGCTCCTGCAGGCCACTGTCCTGCAAAGTGTAGTTCCCACCCCATCAAGCTGGAGCTAAACTCTGCAGGACAGTGGCCCTCCAGGACTAAGTTTGGAGAAAAATTATGATTATAGGGGCAGATTATCAATTATTAAATACTTATTTTTGCATGGTTCCTTGCACAAGAAGACCACAAAACACGTTTACCATAATACATGATTTGTAAACTAATACATCTTGACATTTGCATCACATAACCAGCTCCATATGTATGGCTGATGTAGTAAACTTGCTCAGTAGCTCACCTGATACAGCACTGCACTCGGGTACGAGTCACAATAAAAGAGCTGCAAATCTTGTAGATGCAAACGAAAATGGCATGGTTGCTTTAGCAAATATGTTTTTATCTCTCAGTTTCTTTTGTTCCCACTATCAGTTAGGTTTAGGGTAGAGACTACACGATTAACCTGAGTGATTAGCAGCACTCACCGGGTATTTTATTTCCAAACTGCCACAAGACATACAACAACCAATGGAAATGATGCCACAGGCACAGTTTTCCAATGAGCCTTAGTTGAAAATAATACATTTAATGAGGTTTATTCTAAAAGGATAGAATATAGAAGAATTTACCCAACCTGTATGGAGAAAAAAGAAAGAAATTTATGAGAAAGTCCTGGCTGTTCTTCATACAATGAATGTGCCACAACAGCACCATAAAAGTAGTCCATACGACTAATGCTCTATATTACAAGCATTTTATGTAAGGGATAATGCATGGCTAGCTGTGCATTAAATTATTTTAATGCATGATGTGGAGGCCAAGAACCACCCGACGCGACGTGCATTCAAATCGTTTAATGCACAGCTAGCCATGCATTATCCCACTTATACCTTAGTCATTTGCCAGCACATTTACAAGTTACAAGTTAAAGCTCTTAATGATGTTTCTCAGCGCAATATTTGACTGGAAGGGTAAAAATTATGGTTATTTTCGTCAGTTACGGCTCGTTAGCGCTAGCATTCTGCCCACATCAAATCAGACACAGAGGTGAAATAGTGTGGTACGATCACATTTATTTGAATGAATTATAGCATTGATGAATTATCATCAATGAATGATGAATGAAATGAATTATCGGTCGAGAGAGAGAGAGAGAGAGACAGAGAGATGACAGTTGTGTGTGCGTTATCTTTGTCTGCGCGTCTCTCTACAAACAATGAAGCTGTGTTAATTCAAAAACTTTTTATTATTAAAAGTCGCGGGGAAGCGTTGACAAGTTAGGGTTAGGGTTGCGATCTCTGACTCTCTCTCTCCGTGTGTGTGTGTGTGTGTTTGCGAGTCATGTGTGTGGGTTTGTGGGCATCAATTAAAGCAGCGCATTAATATAGACCGGTGATTAAACTGACTTGGAACTACCTGTGCATTAAACGGTTTTACTTCATACCTGCCAGCCAATCAGAATCGAGAATTCAGGCACACCATTGTATAAGTAAGGGATAATCAACGGTTTGCCGTGCATTAAAGGATTTAAATGCACAACGTGGAGGCAAAGAACCACCAACGCGAAGCCGAGCAATATTTGACCGAATGGGTAAAAATGACGGTTTTACTGCATACCTGCCAGCCAATCAGAATCCAGTATTCAGACAGACCATGGAATAAAGTATGAATAAAATGATATAAAATAAAAATGATTTCAAAGAAAGAGGTAGGTGGTGACTAGAAAGAGATTGAACGGGAGAAATAAAGAGAGCAAAGTCATGCTGTTTATGACAGGACAGACCTCAGGAGCCATCCAGAACGGGGTTCCCACTGATGTGTTTCGGCGTAGACGGGCACTCGTCAACTGAGCTGAGACGCCTGCAAGAAATCAGAGACCTCATGTGTCAGAGTCATAGCTTAACAGGGTTATTTTTCTTTATTTTCCTTGAATGTGTTTTTTTTTTTTCTACTGAAATTCGTGAACATCTGTGATAATAAACAACAATAACTGTACAATTATTTCTCAAGTAGGACCAAATAACAGTTGTATGGATTCAGACATTTAGGAGGTGGCAAATGATCTGACGTGACATTAGGGCACGGAGCGGGCGGCTGGCATTCAACAGCATTACCTGATGAGGGCATTTTGCTTCCCAGCAGGATCCACTTCTTTCTCAAATGCACATGGGACAAACACGCCTCAGGCAGAATCAGCCGCCCCACACACCCTCCTCTCGCCCTCACACACACTTTCCACGCAGAACACCATTTAACCTCACTCACACGGGTGTGTTTGATAAAGCACACAGACGCCTGAATGGCTCCACCTCAATTTAGTGGCATTTAACTATAACTCATGAACCACGGTGCAGCATTAGCATACTGTTCGATTTATTATGCATACAATAATAATAATATGTGATGTGTATCCAGGGGCGTAATTTCCACTGGGGACAGGGGGGACATGTCCCCCCCACTTTTCAAAATCACGTTTGTGTCCCCCCCACTTTCAAATTCGTTTGTTATATTTGTTTTAACCGCACGCCGTCATCGCCACGGAGGAGCAGGTATCGGTTGCGGCACAGTCAGCGATGAAACGCCAGAAGCAGCAACAGATGACTTTAATGTTATCATGGATGAAAAGAAAGAAAGAAAGAAAGAAAGAAAAAGAAAGAAAGGAGATGTGAGTTGGTTGATTCAGTAAATTAGCTCAGGCCAGGATAATCATATTTTCTGTCTACACCTGTTAATGTTAGCCTACGTTGACTGAGCTAACGTTAACATACACTGTTGCTAGGTAACAGACTGTTGTTAGCTTAATATTTAATGTAGAACAGTGGTTCCCAAACTTGAGTTTTGCGGTGTTTCGTGAACGAATCGTTCGCGAAAGTTTACCAAGCAATTGAACAGGTGTACCTAATAAAGTGGCCGGTGAGTGTATATATATATAATAGGGATGGGAAGATTCCCCGATTCGCTCGGTGCATCGGCATAAAAAGTTAACGATGCGATGCATCAGTTTAAAAAGTGTGCATCGGCTACAAGTCGGCATTTGTATCACGATGCATCGTTTCTAACGTATTTGCATCGGTAAAACCACATTTATTTATATATAATTACATTTGTGCACGCTTATTCTTAAGCAGACCTTAATGTCGATCATGGTCATGGATCAAATCGATCCACCATCGCAACCAGCGAATATATCTGTGCTGTTTAATGCATTTGAGACGTTGTGTTTTCCCCGGTGCATAACTGACATGTCACAGGTATATTTTTCATCTGTTAATGTCAGAAAGTCATGCAAACATATCCATTTTGCTGAGTGGGCGAGGCACGCGAGAGCAACGCTGCTGCGCGCTAAACAGAAGGAGCGCAATCAAATAGGAGCGCAATAATTCCGAGTAAAATATACTTTTTGCTAAAAAAAATGTTTTTGGACATTAAATGTGTTTTGTAGAATTTTAACCCTACATATAAAGTGTATTTTTATGATAGCAGTAACTGTAATGGGACTATTGTAATAGGTAAATAAAACGTAAGCTAGTAGGCTACTAATTACTAAGCTCAAATGAGTTAATGTGTGTTTCTTATAGCAGTTAAAATGTAGTCATTTTGTTTATTATTTATTTTCATTTTTAATTCAGTGATTTAAACTTTTAATTTAGTTATTGTAATGCTTTAAATAGCTATTTTAGATTGTAATGTTCTAATGTTCTAATCTGTTCTGCAACCTATAAAAGGTACAGCTGTAATAAAACCAGAGAGAAAGGCTGCATGGCTAGAAACTGTACAAATGGTTAACTTGTTTTATGAAACAGGCCTCGAGGCATTAAGTGATCATATTTTCTCCATTGCATCGAATCGCATTGTGTTGAATCTAATCTAATCTAAATCGGATCGCACTGCATCGTAACAGGGGTGAATCATATCGCATCGCATCGGTAGCTGCTTCATATGTATCTTTAATGTATCGTATCGTTGGCTATGCATCGAGATGCGTATCGTATCGGCCTGAGTCATGAGATGCACATCCATAATTGCTAGTAAACTGAGGCACACATATGATGTTTTACACTCTTATACAAGTTATTGGTTAGAAGTATAAGGTGTATCCCTTGTGAAAAAGAAGTGTGCTTAAATGTACTGAATGTGCACCTGTAGTGTACTTCAAATCTTAAAAGTAGATTAAAAAAACTGAACTTGCAGATAGTAATATAATATTAAATTAAAAAAGCCACTTAAGTGTGCTTAAAAAGAGTACACTTTCCAGTGTTGGGGAAAGTTACGTTTGAATTACAATATTGAGTTTTTGTCACCTGGACTGAGCTTGCTTAATTTTTTTTAATAACAAAACCCAAAAGTTACAGTGCTGTGAAAAGGTTTTTGCCCCCTTCCTGTTTTTTAATTTTTTGCATATTTGTCACACTTAAAAGATTCAGATCATCAAACAAATTTTAATATTACACAAAGATAACCCAAGTAAAAACAAAATGCACTTTTGAAATAATGATTTTATTTATTAAGGGAAAAAAGTTGTCCAAACCTACCTGGCACTAAGTGAAAAAGTAATTGTCCTGCTGCATAAACCAAGTGCGCTTGAGCTTGAGGTCACAAACTGACGGCCGGACATTCTCCTTCAGGATTTTCTGATAGAGAGCAGAATTCATGGTTCCATCAATTATGGCAAGTCATCCAGGTCCTGAAGCTGCAAAGCAGCCCCAGACCATCACACTACCACCACCATGTTTGACTGTTGGTATGATGTTCTTTTTATGAAATGCTGTGTTGGTTTTACGCCAGATGTAACGGGACACACACCTTCCAAAAAGTTCAACTTTTGTCTCATCAGTCCACAGAATATTTGCCCAAAAGTCTTGGGGATAAACAAGATATTTTTTGGCAAATGTGAGACAAGCCTTTGTGTTCTTTTTGGTCAGCAATGGCTTTTGCCTTGGAACTCTCCCATGGATGCCGTTTTTGCCCAGTCTCTTTCTTATTGTTGAATCATGAACACTGACCTTAATTGAGGCGAGTGAGGCCTGCAGTTCTTTAGATGTTGTTCTGGGTTCTTTTATGACCTCCTGGATGAGTCGTCGTTGCGCTCTTGGAGTAATTTTGGCAGGCTGGCAGCTCCTGGGAAGGTTCACCACTGTTCTCCACTGGCTCTGACCATGGTTCGCTGGAGTCCCAAAGCCTTAGAAATGGCTTTATAACCCTTTCCAGACTGATACATGTCAACTATTCTGTTTCTCATCTGTTCTTGAATTTCTTTAGATCGCGGCATGATGTGTTGCTCTTTAAGCATGCTTCACTTTGTCAGACAGGTTCTATTTAAGTGATTTCTTGATTCAACAGGTCTGGCAGTAATCAGGCCTGTGTGTGTAGCTAGTGAAATTTAACTCAGCTTTCTAAAATAATGTGGTTAATCACAGTTCTTTCATGATTTAAGAGGAGGGGGGCAATTAATATTTCACGTAGGGTCAGGTAGGTTTGGACAGCTTTTTTCTCTTAATAAATCATTTAAAAACTGCATTTTGTATTTACTTGCATTATCTTTGTGTAATATTACATTTTGTTTGATGATCTGAATCTTTTAAGTGTGACAAATATGCAAAAAATAAAATAAAAAACAGGAAGGGGGCAAAAACCTTTTCACGGCACTGTATATTTTTGGCAACTGTAAAAGTCCTTTTACACCAGAAGTGAAATTAATAAGCCTCTGCACCTCACTCCCGATTTCTCTCAACATGGGGAAAGGAGAGCTTTAGAGATAAGAAATAAGAAAACAGAGTAACTTGCGTTACTTGTTTGAAAAAAGCAATTCAGATATTTTGTTGTCATTTTAAAAGTAATGCATTACTTTACTAGTTACTTGAAAAAGGAATCTGATTACGTGACTCTCATTACCTGTAAAGCGTTACCCGCAACACTGACACTTTCATTATTGTTTCTTAAAACGCTTTAAAAAGTGAACTTTGTAATAAATTTGAATTAATAGTTTTGCTTTAAAGTTTAAATTACTGTTTTAATAATTTTGTTGTGGTTTAATTTTAAATTTGTTATTAAATATTAAATTTAAAGTTAATATATTTTAAATGTGCTAAATTGCAACTTCATCATTGCAAACGTTTATACAAATTTGTTATAAAATATTTTAATACATTGAAATGACATTAGGGTATACTTTAGTTTACTATATTTGTCAGTACATTCAGCAGGATACTTTAACCATATTTCAAATACAATAGACGTGATTATGAAATTACATATAAAGATGAACTTAAAGGTGCAATAGATGATTGTCTTCAGAAACATTTTTTGTTGTGCTGGTTGAAAGTCTCTTCACATCCTGATAGCAATCATTAAGTTAAGTGGTATTTATATGTATTTTATATTTATATGTATATATTCTGTGGAAGGCGTATAGGACCAAGAAACGTTCGTCCAATCAAAACACTCGGTCCACTTTCCTACCTGCCTGTCAACATGTGTATAATGGTGCGTTCAAGTCATGTCGGATAGATCGTATTTACGAGTTGAACGCACATGAACGCCAGTCGTTATTACGAGTGGGAAACTCGAAATTTTCTTTAAGCCCCGAGTTTCCAAGTTGGGGGCGTGTCAATGAGAAACATGGCGGAATCGATGGATGCAACGTCTGTAGTTGAC